CAGAAATGGCCTGGCCTCCTTTCCTCGCAGAGGTGAGGGGCTATGGGACAGAACAATGCACACACCATCAGATTCCTAGGGGATGGTAAAGAGTTTTGCTGTACTGGCTTTTCCCCCTTGTTCTCTTTCACCTTTTGTTACAAGGGCCAGGGAAGGGAGAGCGATATCTTCAAAAACTAAGGTGTTACAAAAATAAAAGATATCCTTCAGAATTTTACACATTTGAAATGTTAATTAAAAGACCATGTCAAACAGAAAGTATGAAGAGGATTAGGAATAAAGACCTAGAGAGACAAAGAGAAAGAAAACTTTAGGAATAAACGGTTCACTGAAGTCAATCTAACACATAAGAACAAGTCTGGGAATCAGAGGTCAAAACAATGGCGAGGTCCTTTTTACCTTTGCAGTACCGGTCTGAGAAGCATAGAAGATATTCACTCCAGAAACATGGACTTCTTTCTTCTCAGGGGAAGTGGGACCATTGGCCACAGGAGCCACGGGGGCCACAGGAGCTGGGAAGGTCTTCTGGAGGGAGGATTTCCCCAGTGATCTGTCACCCTTAAAGAGAAAAATGTACAGCTTTTGGTCATTACAACCGATTCTTTTCCTACAATTCCCCACTCCTAATGACAAAAAAATGGGCAGAGAAACAGACTCTTCAGAGGTCATGAAATTAAAATCCTAAGATGCAGAAGTACCCTTAGAGGATCCCCATTACTGCCTGCCCTACAAGGCTTGTCCTGCCTTAGCAGAAAGATCCCCAGAGAGGGAAGACCTGCCTCATCCAGGGGCCACCTAGTCTAGCTTGCCAGAGCTCCAGTGGGAAGGAGAGTGCCCCAATGTCCACCCACTTCTCTGAGCTCTGCCCTCTGGGCCAAACCCACAGAATAATCCCTCTTGCAAACCAAAGCCTCTCAGGGACTTGAAGCCAGCTCTCACGTTCTCCCTGAACCATCTGCCGTCACAGTTCTCTCTCTCAGGCTAAATCCAATGGTGCTTTCTTAGTCTTCACCCTCTCTGACCTCAAGGTTGCATCCAGCACTTCTGAGCAACCCCTCCTTCCAGTTGCTCTCTGAGGCACTGCCCTCTCCTGGTCCTCCTCCTACCAGCTGGTCTGCTCCTTCTCAGTCTCCTCTGCAGTATTATTATCCCTATCCTGTCCTCTAACGAACTGTGAGTGTCCCCTAAGGCTCTCTTCTGGGCTGGCACTCTCTCTCTCTGTCTCTCTCTCTCTCTTCTTCTCTCTCTTTCTCTTTTCTCTCTCCTCTCTGTCTCCTCTTTCTCTCTCCTCTCTGTCTCTCTCTCTCTTCTTCTCTCTTTCTCTTCTTCTCTCTCTCCTCTCTCTTTTCTCTGTCTCTCTCTCTCTCTGTCTCTCTCTCTTTCTCTCTCTCCCCTTCTCTCTGTCTCTCCCCTTCTCTCTCTTTCTGTCTCTCTCTCTCCTCTATCTGTCTCTGTCTCTGTCTCTGTCTCTCTCTCTCCCCCCTCTCTTTCTCTGTCTCTCTCTGTCTCTCTTTCCTCTGTCTCTCTCTTACCTTCTCTCTCTTTCTCTTCTTCTTCTCTTCTCTCTCTCTTCTTCTTTTTCTTTGTCTCTCTCTTTTTTCCC